CAGTCCTGGAGCAAAAATTTGCATTTGGGTGGTGAAAATCGCATCCCAAACATTCTCAAATTCCCACTCAAAGTGTTCAGAAGACTCTGCATCTTGTCAGCGTCTTCACCTAACAGGACTATGTCATCTGCATATTCTAGATCTAAGGAAAATTCACCTGTGATCCGGTCAACGTCTTTGTAATTAGGTGACGAGAGGGAAACCTCCATAAGAATATCTATGATAAAATTAAATAAGAATGGGGATAGTGGGCATCCTTGACGGACACCACTTGATGAGTATAGCTCCCTGGACAACTCACCATAGGCTCTAACATGCCCACAAGTGTTCGAGTAGAGAGCTTTCAATAAGGTGATGTACTTACTAGGCACGCCTTTCAGTGACAGACACTGCCATAAGACTTCTCGATCAACGGAGTCAAATGCCGCCTTCAGGTCGAGAAATACAGCTATTGTCGGGCGTCTGTAAGCATGCCTATGTTCCAGGACCTGGCGCAGTGTGAATATTTGGTCGATACATCCACGGCCAGGTCTAAAGCCTGCCTGGTTTTCTCGGGCTTGCTGTTCCCGAGCTCCACTCAGGCGTCGGAGAATTATAGAACTTAGGATCTTAGACACTATGTTTGTCAGGCTGATTCCTCTGTGGTTATCACAAGAGGACTTCTCGCCTTTCTTGAAGACTGGGATGATCAGTGACTTAGACCAGTCGGAGGGGATCGTATTTGATTCCCATATACTGGCTAACACTTCCGTTAGCCTGACTAAGAGAACTCTACCACCATTCTTGTATACCTCAGCAGGTAGTCCGTCTGGTCCTGCTGCCCTTCCCCGTTTCAGGCTACCTACCGCTTTCTCAACTTCTTCTAGTGTTGGGGGACCTGTCTCTATGTCCCATTCAGGGTCCGACTGGATAGCGGGCAGCGCAATGGTGGCTGGAGGCCAGTTAAACTGTTCCTCAAAGTGTTCTGCCCATCGTCCCAGTCGCCTTCCCTGCGAGTGAATCGCCGATCCGTCCTTCTCCGCTATAACCTCACTAACTGTTGTTGACCATTTCCCCCCAGTCTCCTTAATAAGTCTAAATAACTGTCTACTGTTACCGATCGCCGCTGCCTTTTCCATCTCTTTAGCCTTTGCTGCCCACCACTGTTCACGATCGTTGCGCAGACTTTTCGTCAGTTTATTTTTAAGTTACAAGGTCAACAACGAGGTCAACATCTGCTCCTTGTCAAACTGCCGAAGAAGGGAGACCTCAGTGTTTGCAAGAACTGGCGCGGAATCACTCTCCTGTCCACCCCAAGTAAAATATTAAGCCGCATCGTCCTGGAGAGGCTTAAAGATGCACTGGATTCAAAATTATGACCGGAACAGGCTGGCTGGATTCAGCAAGTACAAATCATGTGCCGAACAAATTGCAACGCTACACTACGCATCATCATAGAACAGAGCATAGAATGGCAGTCAGCTCTCTACCTCAACTTCATCGACTTTGAGAAGGCCTTTGACAGCGTCGACCGAGAAGTAATTTGGAAACTGCTTCACTACTACGGAGTACCGCAAACCTTTATCTGCCTCATTCAACAACTATATGAAGATGCCACATGCCAAGTAATTCACAATGGGAAGCTCATTGATGCTTTTGAAGTGAAGACAGGAGTGAAACAAGGTTGCCTACTATCACCCATGATATTCCTTATTGTGTTCAACTGACTGGATCATGCAGCAAACAGTGGGCAACGAGAAGAGGGGGATACACTGGACTGCGGAAAAGAACCTAGAAGATCTGGATTTCGCCAACGATGACTTGTGCCTGATGTCACATAAACTGGAAGATCTACAGGCAAAAACTAACAATTCGGCAGAAGAGGCAGCGAAGATGGGACTTCAGGTGAATATAGAGAAGACAGAGGTGATGAAGATACCCAACCAACAACTCCAACAACAACAACACACTCCAGTCACCATCAATGGGAGAAACTCAAAGGAAGTAACCTCCTTCACTTATCTAGGAAGCACTGTCTCAACTACAGGCGGGACGGACGAGGACGTCAAAGTCAGAAACGGAAAAGCAAGACAGGCGTTCATTAGCCTGAAACCAGTGTGGAGATCTTCTGCACTCAGCATGCGGAACAAGATACAGATTTTCAACACCAACATCAAGTCAGTGCTGCTGTGTGATGGTTGAGAGACTTGGCGTGTTAAGAAAGGGATTTCCAATAAACTATAGACATTCATCAACAACTGCCTACACTGGCTCGTTACTGAAGATCAGATGGCCAGAATAACAAGAATAAGCAACAAGGAACTCTGGACGGGCAACGAACCAACCAAGAACCTATCACGCAACAAATATGCACTGGAAGGAAGTGGAGATGGATTGGCCATGCACTGAGAAGGCCGACTGAGGACATCACGCGTCAGGCCAGTTGCTCGAGTGGAATCCCCATGGGAAGTGACGAGTTGGACGTCCGAGGGTGACATGGAGGAGGTCGTGTGAGGAAGAAATGAGAGCTTGTGGGCTGTCGTGGAACCAGGTTCAAAAGATCTCAGAGAACAGAATTCACTGGAGACGTGCTACTGAAGCCCTATGTTCCACTAGGAACCCAAGGGACTAATAATAATAAATAATAATGATCTGTTAGAACATTTGAAACTGGCTAGATCTGTGATCTCACGAACTTATGGCGTCCTGAACGTACACAAGAATTTTCCTCTTCATATAATATTGGCCATCCAGTCAAGCAACGGTTCCATCTTAGACCATTCAGTCCAACTATGGTCATATCACTTCCTCATAGTCTTCTTACAAAATTCTATACAAAGTCTAATTGAACTACTCAGAAGGAGTAGCATTTCGTCATTTATGTTTTAGTGTTTTGTTATTGGTAATCCAACAATTAAAACCTTAGCTCTATATACAAAAGAAGTACTGTACATTTGGTGTGGTGAGTTTTTTTATTGCTTCAATGATTGACTGATTATTATTATGGTTTACTTTCCTATGCCTTCAACACATTAGTTCCAATTTCCTATTAAAAATCAAGTTATATTTCATTTCAATTACCGACTATTATCTTTTTATCTATCACCGTGATCAACTGTGTATTTCTCTTATACACCCCATGATTACGTAATCCCTTTTTAAGTTCAGAAACGATTTACTATTTCATCCTAGGACATTTCATTTTGATGACAAGTAATGAACTTACTTTTTCGTTTGCTATTACTATAAATATGATTGTAAAACTAATGAAAATGATTCATTGAGAAGGAAATTTTCTTCGCTGAATTACTTTGACTGATTAGAATGAAAATGAGTTAAAACTGAAATCCAAGCTAAAAGACTTTGAGTCACTAAAAGTATATATTACTTTCTCTTGAAATATTCACTGACGAATTGTAGTCAAAGTTGTGGATTATCTTCGGAAAGTGGTTGTGATAAAAAAAATTGGACAATTTTATAAGTTACTTATGTTAGACCCATTCGATCAGATAGACTGATATAGTCACATAATAGTATAGTCCTTTCTTTCACCAAGTTATCACCAAAAGGGAATAGTAGATCTGTTATTTTCAGTAGTTTAGTATACATTTTGAAATGAAACAAATACCTTCAGATTAAATACAACCTAGGATGTAGCTGAAACGAATGTTCGACTTGGTTTCACCAGCTAAGATGCATCAATTAACCATCTGACACGTTTAGAGGATATACGTCAAATCAGTGATGCACTTGAATCAGGTAACGTCAATATGGCATCGCGTTTATACGCATAATCATCTAAAGTTGAACACATTTTTCAATGAAAATGATAATTGTTTTCGGTACATCGAAAATCACAATTACAAAAATAAGTACAAATTAATACGAATCCATAAACCACTTACTAATTAGTCCTTTATAATAAAAAATTTCACTTCCTCGCACAATTACTTATCTATCCATGTCACCTAAATTGAGTATGAGGGACTGAAAAGACTAAAAATAATGATGTCGATTATTGTCAACTAGCCGATCTTGGATAACTGTAGCTGCTAGATTAGCTTACATGTAAAGAGAGTGTAACAAGAAAACCCGGCACTCACAGGTTGCTGGTTCGAGCCCCGTTGTTTAGTTATAAACAGATATAAGGTGGAATATGTAGAAAAAAAAGTAGGACAATGTGCTCAATGTTCAGAGGGTTAAATGCATTTTGACCTACTATGACCAGTTTAGAATTATACTGCCTTGATTTCTAAACATTTAATTTCATGGAGGCTAACCAGAAATCCTACAGTATTCTACGGGAATTAGATCAAGTGTGAGATTTCAACCTGACAATCTGGAAGTGTTAAAAGTCAGTAAGCATGAGATTCTGCATTAAAGTTTTGTGCTTACTGGGACTCAGAAGTAGAAGATATCTAGAGGAAAGTTATGTTGCGTCATTTTTAATCCAAATCAGCTAGTTCTGAAGTTCATGACTAACACTTATCTATTCACGTTAAGACTGGCCCTCTGTTTCCGCCTATTTAAAACTCTTTTCAGCTGGATGTACCTGAACCCCAGTGAGCAATGTTGCTCCCACTAGGACTGATTGCTTCAAATACCAGAGCGTTATGCATTAGACTACTGAATCACGATAGTCGCTCCTTGTGCGATGGGTGTAGTTTTTAGGTTGTTGCATGTCTTATTCCGTCGTTGATTGGATCATATTGACCGGCTTCTATTTGGCTTAGGGGTTCCTGCGCGATTGCCTCGATATTCTCTCTTTGCATTAGGTTGAACTCAGTACGTTAACACTGAAGTATCAATTTGTAATTTGGAGATAGACATTTTTTTGAGTTAGGTTAGTTCGCGGCATATTGCAACCATCACTAATACCACTGTCAAGAGGAAAATGTGACAAAGTTCCATCTTTAAAGTCAACAAACATCAGAGAGAGAGAGAGAGAAAGGTGGATTGTTGGTGAAGTGAGATGGACTTATTCACAGATTCTATTCACTTCCTTTTTTTCCTTATCGTAGAGAGAAACTTACACATGGCACGTCATGCAAAACTGGCTCAAAAAGAATATTGCAAAATGATTTGTGGCATCCACGAAAAACAAATGAGAAGATAATTTTCCTTATACCAGACTTCTTGGTCTATTTGGAACAATTAAGTATACAACTTGAAAAAGGTCAAATAGATGATAAAAATTTATCTCAACTTTTAATTAGTGGAGTAACCTGTATACCAGAAATAAGAAGGCTTGCTTTATGTCTGCAAAAATATATAGGTAATCCAATCGACGCCAAAGGGTTACGTTGTCAACTAGTGAGTATAATCTTACAGACGCTAAATGATCTACAGGATATTATTAGGAATATTCGTAAAGATATAATAACCCCATTATTTCAGATTACACCAGGATGTGAAACATCACAACAGATAGACAAAAAGTATACCATTAAAAATATCCTCATGAAATTAACCAAAGAGTTGAATGACAATGAAATTGGTACTGTACCGCCTATAAGCTGTCTTGAAGCACCATTCAGCTTACAACATAGTATACGAGAAGAACACTTTCAGAAATATGGTTGGATGTTAGGATTGATAACATCTATATTAAATATCCTCATGAAAATTGACTTTGACATTGATGAATATTTCCAATTGGGATGTATGACTCATATTGTGAGCCAAGAAGATTTACAACTTTCGATGTAACCATTAACTTTATCTGTCATTCATTGTTTGAATATAAAAATTACTAAAATATCCATTCTAGTTTTTGAAGTATATCGTTGAATGGTTTTCTCTTGTGAGTACTTGGTACTCACAGGAGACACAAATCCAAAGATGTTCTGCTATTTGCTTTTCAGTTTTAAACATCAATTTGTTATTTGACCATTTTCTGGAGTTTTCCTTCGAGGAAATTGAAACAAATCTGTTCGCATGTTGATCAATGTGAATTATAGAGTATGTAATCTCATCAAAAGAATGTACGTCCCACTTCGTAAATTCTCTCTTAAAAAGTATCGAAGCCAACATTAACTATATTGGTCCTGGATGGGAATTGATGACAGTGAAGAAGCCTTTTTTCGCCCTTACAATTCAAGGGAGACGCTGCAAGTGAGATTCTTTCACAACGTCTAGCTATAGCAGTCAATAGGACGTTTTATGTACGTCGGTTTTGTATATCATTCAGTAGTCAGACTAAAGGATAGCCTACCTAATCTAAGCTCTTCATCTTGTATACAACAACTTAAGTGTTCATGTGAAACAAGTTACATAGGGCGTGGGTCTTCGGATAAGAAAGGATTTACCAGCTTGGTTTGAAAAGGGTAAAGTGAAAGTGGCGAAAGGTTCAGTCCTAGAGCACCTATTAAATACACGCCATCACACATATGCTAATAAAGCTTTCAATATCATTTATCGTATTTTAAAAACGATACCACATTTAGCTTGCCAACGCCTTCTCAACATACTGGAGGTTATGACAATAAGATTGATCAAGCCTGAACTCTGCATTCAGAAAGAACATATCAAAAGGTTACTTCTCTCTTGACCTTCAGTAAACTAAAGACCACTCCTGACTTCCTATTTGTTATCCTTTTGTTCACCATCATATCATTTATCTGTATATATATCATCCCAATATTGAAAAATATAAAGAGAAAAATCGATTTCCTTATAATCCCTAAATCTCACTCCATTTCGAAAATGTATTTGCCCCAAACTTAACTTGATTTTAGGCTGTACAAATACATTTTACAATTGTAAAACCTGAAGAGAATATCTACTGAAAAGAATATTCTTCGTTCAGCTTCGAGATATCATACACTCACATAACATAGTTGAAAGAATAAGTAGCAGAGACGAAAGCAGGATAAAAATGAAAATGAACTCAGTAGAAAACTCTCTTCAGAGTCAATAGGAAACATTACAAACATCCTATATTTACGCTTCTAGGCAACATTATTTTGGATGATATCGACTGTCATTGTGTTCTAGTGAAAAACGCTTTATTAACAGCAATTAATAGTGACTTGACAATTCTACATATTAATAATCCCCACTGTGAAAATTAGAATAGATCATAGGAAATTTTATTACTTTTAAATTGCATGCAGATCCTACTGCATTTAAGGTATTCAATGATACTACACTATGTAGACTTCTTTGAAGTTTATAGTATTTATATGAAGCTCCAAAAAAAAATCACCGATATCTCACATCGTAATGGAACATATTGACGGCCATGAAAGTAAAGAGAAAGTGCATTTTGAAAAAAGTAACCATCATCCTTTACAATCTAAACTGCTTACACGCATGTTTAGATAACTTCATTCCAGATAGAATGCTGTATCGCTCCCTACAAAAAGTGGGTTGTTCAAACTGAGGTTGCTGAAATTTGTTGAAATATACCATGCTCCAATCAGCAAGATAAAAACATAAACTAGTGCCCTTGAGTCGTTTAGATATGGGAATATATCAGACGATTCGTCAGGTTTATGTACTTGGCTATTGATCTACACGTGTTGTGAAACCTGATCACATTATTTTGTTGTCGATACCTACATAGAGATCCAATAATTTCCATACTTCTAATTAGTCAGTTAGCAATAGTTGTGGAAATTATATACACTATCGACGATTTGGCTGGTTGCCATAGGAATGATTAGTCTGTTCAAACTAAGTATCCAGCTAGATCCTCAATTAAAATGAGAGACAGAGAGACAGGTTGACTGTTTATTCGACTATGGTGAGATATCCTTAATTGACAGAGTAGGTTTGGTACAGTGAGATTTCGTAGTTTAGTCAGTATATCGATGGACCTGTATCCGGAGGCAGCCTGTTGTGTAACGATTGTGGTTTATGCTCATCACTATGGTACACACCACGACAAAGGTTATTACAACACTTTACAGACGAGTCAGCACACTGGTTAACTGATTCCATCTGAAGTCTAAACTCTACAGTTTACTGAAGTGATAACGTGGTCCTGACCTCAATAGAATAAAATATTATCGCAGCTTAGGCAGAAAAAAGCATATGTCTGACAAGCTTTTTTCACGACTCTATAAAAGGAAATCACTCTATTGGAATGAATATGATTTACAGGATCAGTAAGTTAAGTAGTGTTATTATTATTTACACCACCTTGCGAAAACTTGATGCAACGAATAACTCCTAACTTTTAAATCATAGCAATATTCTCAGAAAGTTACTCAATACTTCAATATTTCCTGAACTTATTTCACAAAAATTCCCCACGTTTTTATAGTAATGCAAAAAAACAATGTTGACAACAATGATGTTAAACATCAAATTTATGAAGTGTAGTAGCAGACAAATGTTCAACAGTTTTCATAATCCTAGATTATTCCCCGTGAAATGAACTTCCTGTTAAATAAAATTATAAACTACTTTCAATTGAGTTTACTTACTTGAAGAAGTAGATAAGAGAATGTCATTGAAGTGATTTAAACACTAAATCTAATCTGTCAATCCGATCACTTGCACCAAATTATGAATGAAATCTAGGTTTATCAGCTTGGAATACGTTGACTGATAATAAACATACAATCGGCAACTTAACAACTTTCTAATCGACAGACAATTTAACAAAACATTAACAATACAAACTAGGGAGTATTTGTGAAACAGATTTTATCGGGGAAAAGAATAAGTTACACCAAATGAAAAATAAACATTTCATCAGGCAGTCGTCATAGGATCATCAATGAGTAACATGAATACAATACCTACTACCAACAATTATCATTCATAACCGATTAATTCATTCATAATTCTAAACAACAAAATATATATGAAATGAAATTAAGCAAAAAATAATAGCAGCAATAGCAAAAAAAACAATAACCATGACATTTTTTTTTATGATTTAATAAACAATGTCAAAACTATTGATCATAAAAGGGCTAGTTTCTTTTTGCTTAACCTTGATAGATGTTATTTTATTACTACTTGTTATCATTATGATAAAAGCGAACAAGAGAATAGAAAAGAAAAACGGTATACAATGAAGGATATAAACTGGGAATGATAAAAATAATTTTAAAAAACAGCTTCAAAAACAGTTAGCTAATTTACATTTGCTCGATGGTAGATGCTGCATCATCAACGAAGGTAACACCTGTAGAATCTGAACAATTAAAACGATCATAGGCGCCTTTTATGCAGATGAAAAATAAGTAAGAGTATACACACATTGTTTGAACAAAAAGACAAGAGGGTAGATAAAAGTGAAAGAGAAGGTTGTTTAGAGATTAAGTGGAAAATGTTGAATAATGAAAGAATGGTTGATATTGAGAATATCCTCCTTTACCATTATCTTTGATTCTTAAAAGAAAACTCACATAATTCAATGTTATTATAGCACAATTGTAACCCTGAGTTGCGATAAAGGTTCGTCGGGATTCAGTTTAGTAGGATTGTAAACAAACGATGGAGAACAACAACACTGATGACGACATCATTCAACACACATATATGTGTACACAAATACTGATAATATTGACAACGAGGTGACTGTGTTTGGTGTCAAATAGAGGAAATAAGAACATCTGTCCAATACACACATACATGTGAAGAGACAGTAAACACATCGATAGTAGGCTTGACTTTGGACACAATGAGGAGTAAAAAGTGATAGACAGAAGTAGCATGAACGCATCAGATTAAGATGTGAATCTAATGGTGATGGTGAGACTCAGACAGTCAGTTAACAGATAGAAACAACAAACGATGAACACATAACATATAATTACAAAACACAATCACAATTACATCATAACCAGTGAAAATCCTAACTTCAATGAGACTAAGTGTATACACACATTATTGCTGTAAAATGAATACAAATTCCACACAGATAAGTAGTGAACAATTGACAATAGTATCGCAACTGTACAAGAAATTATAACACCGAAAATGGTGTTCCATAATATTCTGTGCATAACATCGATGATAACAACAGCAACAAAAAGAACAGGTAAAAAGGAGGAGGCGAATTCTCATAAAATTTAAAGAGATAAGAAAGAAGTAGAAGTAAAGTAAACTTAATACTATTAACAGTAAAAAGTTAAATAGTTGATTTCAATAAATCATGCATTAATAAAAACAGGAGAATGAGAAGTAATAGAAACCGAAAGACAGAATATGAGACGCATATAAAGTTCACCTATATATATATATATATATATATATATATATATATATATATATATATATATATATATATATATCCAACGTTGATACATCCGAGAGCAGTTATTTTGTGTTTAAATTAGCCAATGAATAGTAGCGTACAAAGGGGAAATTTATAAAAAGTGCAACAAGAACAGATTCAGAAAAGTGCATACACTCAACTATAAATGGTATATAACATGACAAGATAGCAAAGTTTATAGATAACAACTAGTAGATAGCAGAGACAAAGAGGAAATGAAAATTTTGTAAACCACTATATCACATACTAGTGATGATAATAGTGAACAGAATAATGAATATAGCGTGTTACAGAAATACAAGAGCTAAACAACTAAGTTGCATATATATGTAGATGGATAATATAATCACTGTGATAGTGAACAAATCAAATGTTACCTAACTTGATGTATAAATTATGTTGGAGTGGCCGATGTCCACCAGTCACCATCATTTCTAAACACCGGTTGCATAATAGATCCACTTTTAGAGATATTTGCAGATGGACTAGATGTTGTAACAGAATCAAGAGGAATACTGCACTCCATCTGAGAATGTTGGGATACGTATGGATTGCAACCGTCAGTATTCGACTGGATACCATTATTCATTGCTGCTGCTACAGCCATTGCAGCTGCAACTACAGCCTGTTGTTGTTGAGGTGAATGACGCTGAATTCCATTCGACACAGGACAGAATTGTTGGTTTTGAGGGTAATATTGAACAGGATATCCAGTTTGAATGAGCGCTGTAGCTGGATGTGTCTGCTGTAAAGTCTGATGATTAGCTGAACTTGTCGAGCTTAAAGAAGTAGCTCCATTTAAGTTGCCTGTGTGATATAGTCCAGCAGGTGAGGGGAACACAACAGTTCCAGAACCGTCTCGACCATTAGACGAAACTGTATGAGAGGAAACTTGGTTCGATGGTGGAAAAACAGTAGCTGGGTGAAAAGCTTGATATGTAGGTGTGGCAAAGGCTGCACCATTTGCAGGATGAACATGTGGATTTTGAAAACCACCACTATTCATTGCCGTGATATTTCCGTCATTAATGTTCGCACCGTTAGACCGCATTGGATGCATCCCAGCAGCAACTGCTGCTGCTAAAAACTGATGCATTGCAGCATTTGGATTCGCAGTAGGCAGAAGTGTAGCTGGTTGTGGATGTTGAAGCCTGGGTTGATGGTGAAACAAAGAAACAGGTGCTGGTAATGAATTGTTTTGATGCTCGTGCGTTCCTCCAAATGTGTTTACTCGACTAACATAACCTGAATTATTTTTACAGAAAACTTTGTTTGACTGTTGATTTTGTCCAGTTGAAATAATGGATTATAGGCACTGTGCTGAGGATGTCTAGAAGTATTGTCGATTGGAAATGACAATGAACAATTTCCTAACAATCCAAGTCCGCCATTAGGTAAACCACTATTAGTATTGTTGTTGCTATGATTCATAGGCAATGATCCACCGACATAACTGATACTTCGGTTACCGTATTGTCGATAATCAAATGAACCATAATTAGCACGATTTCTAAAGTGTGAAATCAGAAGATATGAAATAGGTTTAATAAGATAAGCATATTTTAAAAAAAACCATAGTCAGCTTAGTGCAGACTGATGCCATCACCTAGTTTCCACTCAAAACAGCATATCAATAACCAATGGCAACGGTTTCTAAAAGCCTGGTTAAATCTAACTCACATACAAGTCGAATCATTTCAGACAACTATTAGAAAAGCTAGTAGTAACAGTAACTAAGATATAAACTAATTAACTTTTGCCCAGAGCACTGATTGTATGTACAGTAATGCGCAGTAATTTAGGCATTAAAATTTCGGACAATTATCAAATAGTTGAGAAATACCACTATTCCCCAAAAATGTTCATTATCGAGTCGAAACGAAATGCACTCAGCAACGATATGAACACTCATGCATTAGACAATGAGCAACATCTATTTATATGACGTTTAATGATATTACCTGGCTGTTCAGATCCTTCGATAGATGGAATAAGGTTCAAACCCGTGGCCCAACGGTTAACAGTCATGTGCCTAGAATGATGAGTCACAGCCCTGTATGCTAAGCAATTAATATCAACCTGAGTATCATTTAAACAGTAATTCTTCACTTATGACTGATATTGACAGGACTGTCGTACTGTCCTACAGCACAGTGCATAAACGTTTCACACTTGAAGTTCTCAAGTTATACAAAATTTAGTCAACAGTCAATTCTTTCAGATCATAACAACGACCATTGCTTTACAATCCAGTAAGCTTTATGGAGAACATACTCCTTCGCGAAATTATGTATGAGCAAATTAGGAATTATCTTTACCTAAAAGTAAGCGAACTATGCAGTCTTAAAAAGCAGAAACGCTGATGAAAAACAATCTCTTGATGAGTGTTTGAACAAAACCTCAAATTTAACGATGGATATTGGGCTAGTAGCAGTGGAATCTAAGATGGGCCTACCTCCTAGTAAGTGATGTTGTCCGCCCCTCCTAAGGCTTGAGCCAGAGTGTTATCCATTAAACCACTGAGTCACGATAGAAACTTCTTGTGCGACGAGTATAATATAGTTTAGATATTATAATTTGTTATTCCCATTGTTGATTGATTAGACCAAATTGACAGGCTGCTATTGGCAGCATTTGGACTCCTGCGCGAACTCCTCGATATTATCGGTATTTTCAGATTCACATGAATGAAAGATAGTTGTATGCGTTATGCACTTTTATAGGGAAAGAATGCGGTATCGGAGAATCTTTAGCGTGAGCACATAAAATGAGGTAAACTGTCAACTGTCTTGATTCAGTGCTGAATCAAACAACACATTGTTCTCAGAGATTCGTTTAGCACTAGTGTAACACTCAACTAAGTTTCAGCAAGTAACTAAGGTAATATATATTCTTATAATTACTATTAATACTTAGGCCTCGAAAAATCCTGTAATCAGATATAGACTGTTTAAATTTCTATGCAATCGACTGTAACATGTCGATATCTACCGTTTACTGAAAATTTTACTTTAATTTTAGAGTAATTAAGCTCTCACTTATGCCTATTTAGTTATTTATTGTTGAGGATCTTCTGAATCCCAAAGCTACAATTTTAATGTTTGGAAATTATTACACCACTGAATGTATAAAAATGAATTCTAAAGTGTTAACATCGAAGGACCTACTTTTTATTAACATTATTGTTATTATTATTATTGTTTCCAATCTTATTACGGCGAGCAGATGATCCTGAAGGATATGCGACACGTGCTTCCAACCATGGTGGTATAGCTTGTTTAGATTCACGAAGTAATTCAACTAAATCACGTACAACATTTTGATTCTTCTCAGAAAAGAATGATGTAGCCGAACCTGGTTGACCCATTCTGCCTGTACGACCAATACGATGAACATACTCTTCGATATCTGATGGGAGATCAAAATTAATTACATGCTGTTGGAAAGACAGAAAACAAAAATACAATAACACCAGTATTGATACATTAAGTAATGAACAGTCAATAAGAACAAATTTCTTTCTTTTTTTCTCTCTCTCTCTCTCTCTCTCTCTCCCTCTGAAGACCCCATATTGATTAACTGAAGTTTTTTCTTTGGAAGGAGGTATAGTTACACACTGATCTACTTCACCATTTATTCCAGTCTTTAAGAAGGGAGAGAACATTCGTGACCACCATATGAAAGTTTGACTAACATCGTATACGAAATCCCTGGATCCATAGTTATCATACACCTAAGCATCTCTCGAGAACAACAAACGCGAGAGAACCAGGCAGTTTTCAGACCTGAACGAAGATGCATCAATGCGATTTTCACCTTTCGACAGGGCATGCAACACAGACGTATTTACCGGTGACCGACTGTTGCCATATTTCTAGATCTGAAGGTGGCATTCGATTCTGTCGACTTTGAGGTGTAGTGGTGGTGTCTGACTGTGAATGGAGTGTCTAGCAAGTATATGATGCTAATGAAAGCTGTTTACTCGAACCCACGCAATAGTGAAAGGACTTGGAGAGAGTTGTCACGTGAGTTGAAGACAAGTAGTGGTGTCCGTCAGGGATGCCCAGTGTCACTGTTCATGTTTAAATTTGTTATGGGTGTACTAGAGGACGCAATTTGAGGTACGACTAACTTCACAGTGATTAGTTTACTCGCCAGAGGTCATCTTTTATACTTGGAATGTGCAGACGATATTTTTCTATTGGGTGAATGCTTTGACTAAATGTAGTTTTTGTGAAGTCTTAGAACTTAAATCTGAGTATGTTTGGCATGCATTTCGCACGTGTCAAGTGTAGGATGATGCTCCAGGACGAGTCTGAAACCATTCCTAGTTTAATGGTAGAGAGTGAAGTGGTGGACCAATTTATGTGATTGGTATGCTGCATTAACTGACGAAATTTCAGCTTGGGTACAGAATGCCCGTTTGTCATTTACCGACTGGTGTCATCTCTGGTGTTGAGTGGTGAAATATTCGACTACCTGTTAAAGGCCGATTGTCGTTATTTGGCAGTTCGTCCTGTCCTGCCCTGTTTTTTGGCCATGCGATGCATCTGTTAGAGGTAGATGTGAAGAGATTTCAGGTTTTTGAATTTGTATCTTCGTAGCAATACTCGCGTGCGGCAGAATCATCGTATAAGGAATGTTCAGATCAGGCGAAAGGTACTAAGTGAGGCAGACAAGTTGACTAATGAGGTTGTGAATCATCATCGACTGAGATAGCTTGGACATGTGCTTTGTATGCTGAGCCACCGCTTACCTCGATATGCAATGGTAGGAAAAGTTGGATCGGGTTGCAAGAGGTGTCTTGGCAGTTTGGACTAGGTTGTGGCACCAGTGTTTGAAGTCCTTGAATGTGTAAAGATGTGTAGACTATCTGAGTGAGGTCCCTAAGACTATAGGAATCATTGATTTAGGACTCTTGATGAAATGGCTGGAAATGGATCTCAGTGTTGGAGATGTGTTCACTCTTTGATGTCTTGCAAAGCTTGAATATTTTCGATAACCTTTGAAATAAGACTTACCTATCCACTTTGTTCTTTGTGTACTGCTGTGAAGTGTGACAGCTTCACCCGATACACTTGTGTGTGAGCAACCACGTTGCTTTTTTCTGTAACTGTTGGTTTGAACTATGTAGGGAAGCACAGATTGTCATGCTTATGGTCTTCGAGATAATAATAATTTATGGTTGACGACCTATAATGACACATCTCAGATGGATTGCAGTGATTCAAGTGTACGTACTCCATCATTTTCGAAGCTCTGAACCTTGCAATAATCTCGACTTATTTACTTTCTTTCCTCCTGTACACTTGTTTCCACTTCATTATCACTATTTTTCTCTCCAATTTCTTTTCGTATGCTGTTGATAAGTTTAACAAATTAAAGCGATGCAGTTTTATGCATGCTGGTTTAACTGGATGTATCGTTCCCCTAGCGTCATTCATATCATTACTTTCCAATGAAGTTAGAAAAGATAGATAGGCTGTGATTGCATTTTACAAGTATCTTTTTTTCTGAAGATAAAGTATGCTCGGGATAACATTGTATAATTTTTCAGGGGGCATGATATTCATAGCTTTATATAAATAGTAAAATCTCGGTGTGGCTACAAATGATTTGTTTTGTACTTATGATGCTGACAAGATATTTCACTATCTATGAAGATAAAAGTATGATTCGTAGCACCCCTTTCTGCCATATTTCACAATCGTGAAATATTTAAAGTCGTGGAGAATATTTGTAGCTCAGGTGGATGGTCTTGGTTGTATTGTGTTCTCTGAGTTGGGTTGTTTAGTCGTGGAGGTTTCGTCGTCTTTCTAGATGACATCATCAGCACTAACTTCAATCTGAAGTGAGCTGTCAATATCTCTCCGTGACTGATTTAGTATCTTGTAATGACGAACTGGTTCGTGATTGGCTGTTTCCTTTTATTGTTGTGTCATTGACTGTATAGAGGTCAAGCAGAGGAACAGCCGACAGGAGAATCTATGAAGTCAATGACACAATAATCACAGGGAACAACCAATCACAAACCAGTTCGTCATTACAAGATACTAAATCAGTCACGGAGATATTGATAGCTCACTTCAGATTGAAGTTAGTGCTGAAGATGTCATCTAGAAAGATGATGAACGCTTCACGCCTAAACAACCCAACTCAGAGAACACAATATAACCAAGATATTTAAAGTTGTGAAATCCATATACGAATTATAAGTATTTAATCGTAAATGTGAAGGACGAAACTACAAAGGAGATCTTCAAGGCAGCCAGCCATCAAGACAAAATGGGAGATATCGAGGAACATCCCTGAAGAAACCTGTGTAGAAGAACACTGGAAGTCTTTCAAAGAGATGTGGAAAGAAACCTGCACAACCATATTAGGAAGGAAGAAGAAAGAAGATAAGGAATGGATCTCGACGGATACATGGAAGCTGATAGAACAGGGAGAGGAGGATGGTGAAGCAGAAGATAAACCAGTGCAAGGATGCTCAACGACAAGAGGAACTGAGTTCAATGTATAAAACACTACACTGGACAAAGAAGTGAAGAAGAGTGCACGGAAAGACAAAAGATACTTCTACGACACATTGGCAAGTGAAGTAGAACAGGCTGCAGGTAAGAGAGACCTGACAACATTGTATCGAATAACCAGGTTGCTATCTGGGAAGAGATCAACACAGATGAAACCAATAAAAGATGATGACGGAAATTTAATTACGAAAGAAGAGAAACAAAGGAAAAGATGGGATAGCAGGACCAGATGGAATTCCGCCTAAAGCACCGAGAACAGACGCATAGACAACAGTGGACATGCTCACACCACTATTGCAGAAGGTTAGCAAGGAAGGAAGGAAAGGTACCTGCCCAATGATTGTTAGAAGGGCTACCTTGTCAAACTCTCGAAGAAGGTCGACCTAAGTGTTTGCAAGAACAAGAACAGGCGAGGAATCATGCTCCACTCCTGTCCACCCCAAACAAAATATTAAGCCGCATCATCCTGGAGAGATTAAAAGATGCACTGGATTTAAAACTATGACCGGAACAGGCTGGCTGGATTCTGGAAGTACAAATCATGTGCAGACCAAATTGCAACGCTACACTACGCATCATCATAGAACACAGTATAGAATGGCAATCAGCTCTCTACCTCAACTTCATCGACTTTGAGAAGGCCTTTGACAGCGTCGACCGACAAGTAATTCGGAAACTGCTTCACTACTACGGAGTACCACAAACCTTTATCAGCCTCATCCAACAACTATATCAAGACACCATATGCCGGCCAAGTAATTCACAATTGGAAGCTCAGTGATACTTTCGAAGTGAAGATAGGAGTAAAACAAGGCTATCTACTATCACCATGATATTCCTGATCGTGGTCGAGTTGACTGGATCATGCAGCAAACAGTGAGGAGCGAGAAGAAGGGGTGCGCTGGACCGGGGAGAGGATCCTAGATGATTTGGATTTCGCCGATGACTTGTGTCTAATGTCACACAAACTTGAAGATATAAAGGCGAAATCCAACAAATTGACAGAAGAGGCAGGGCAACCAAGGAAGACGGGACTTCAAGTGAATGTAGGGAAGACAGAGGTGATGAAGATACCCAACCAACACCACCAACAACAACAACAAGCTCCAATCACCATCAACGGGAGAAACTTAAAGGAAGTAGTCTCTTCCACCTATCCAGGCAGGGCAGCACTGTTTCAAATACAGGCGACACAAGTACAGACGAGGATGTCAAAGCCAGGATCGGAAAAGCAAGACAGGCTTTCATTAACCTGAAACCAGTGTGGAAATCTTCTGCACTCAGCATAAAGCGTGAACAACATCCGGGTTTTCAACACCCATTCAGTCAAGTCAGTGCTCCTATATGGTTCAGAAACTTGGCGCGTTACGAAAGGGATCTCCAACAAACTCCAGATATTCATAAACAACTGTCTGCTCTGGCTCGTTACTGAAGCTCATATGGCCAGAAAGAATAAGCAACAATGAACTCTGGAAGGGCAACGAACCAACCAAGAACCTATCGCTGAACAAATATGCACTGGAAGGAAGTGGAGATGGATTGGGCATATACTGAGAAGGCCGATTGGGGACATCATGTGCCAGGCCAGTTGCTCGAGTGGAACTCAGATGGGAAACGACGAGTTGGGCGTCCGAGGGTGACATAGAGCAGATTGTGCGAGTAGGAAATGAGAGCTTGTGGGCTGTCGTGGAGCCAGATTCAAAAGTTTGCAGAGAATAGAGAGCGCTGGAGACGTGCTACTGAAGCCTTATGTTCCACTAGGAACCCAAGGGACAAATAATAATAATAACCTGGTCATAGTAGTGAATCTTCGAAATCCACCTAACGAGTATCTGGAGACCCAGTGGCTAGCTCCTGTGAACTAGTCGGTGTTAGGATAGCATCGATTTGTAGAGATGAAGGCGTACTTCTAGAGTGGATACCATCATCAATATCAACACAGGACCAGGCATTACTACGTAACGGACTGGATCCCAGTCAACAACCGTCTATATAGTGCTCGACTAAATGGATCTGTAATAACTGGAAGGGATCGTGAGACTAGCCGATACCTACTCGCCTACGATCTCACTGGCTGAAGTTTAGATTATAAGTAGGATGAATTCTATCAAAAGCTCCCAATTTCACTATATCAAGCAAAACATTCCCACATAGTTTCAGTTGCAGGTGACTTCAGCGTTCAAGTAGGGAAGCTGAGCCAATGGGAAAGAAATCTTAGAAGTATTTATGGAATCTCATGTCAACGAACTGACAGCGGTGATGGTCTGTTGCAACTTTGTTCTGACAATCACTTGTTTCTGTCCGGCACTAACTTTAGGGATAAAGAGAGACACTGTCTCACATAGTTTCCGCCAACTTCAAACCAACGACGGACACATATATTATATTCCTATAAGCCATAGTTAGAGAGGACCGGTGTAGGATTGCTTATATTTCTGGAGTACCAGTTCGAACTCCTATCACGCCCTAATGCAAGTTCGTGTATGTTTGCGCTTTACTGGTCGCAGGAAAGAGGCAGCATTGAAGCCTGTTTATGGCTGATTGGTAGATGAGGAAATCAAGTACCCATTTAGACTAAGCATTTATCTGAAAGTAACAGAAATGCTCATCCTGAGGACACCTGGCGTGATATTAGGTCTGCTGTAGAAACAGAGGTAAAGCCAGTTGGTAACATAAACCCCATGGTTAGCAAACATTATTTGACTTCCGTGAGCTCAACCGAACTGAATGGTGCGAGAAGGCTGGTTTCAGCAGGCTCTGACCATGATAACAAGCGAAAGCAACGTAGACGTAAACTGACCAAGAGTCTTCGCGTCCATCGCGAGCAGTGGTGGGTGACGAAGACGAGAGATGGAGAATGCATCAGCGTTAGGCAACACCCGGCAACTATTTGGGCTTATTAAGAATGCCTGTAAGAAGACGATGGTTAATGAAACCATCACCGAAAAGGATGGAGTGCTGATAACTACCCAGAACAGGCGACTAGAACGTTGGGTCGAACACTTTGAAGCACGGTTCAACCGATCCACAGCCACGCCACAGTTGCTCACCGTTCAGCCTGAACCTGAATGAAATGTAGATGTCGGTTCTCCAACTCTCCTTGGAGTTTAGAAGGCTATATCAAACCTGAAATGGTGCAAAACAATTGGAGCTGACTGTTTACCACCCAAAGTTTTCAAGGGTGGACGTAGAAAATTGCTCATTAGTGACGGAGGTACTAGTTAGTGAGTAGGAATCAGAGGTAGCCCCTCCAGACTGGTCTACTTCACTGATCACTCCACTCTATACGAAAAGTGAGAAATCTTGTAACCCCAATAGGGAGGTGAGCTACACTAACGTAGTGTACAAGATCCTAAGATCTGTAGTTATCCGACGACTAAGTGGTGCTCGAGAACAGCAAACTCAAGAGAACCAGGCAGGTTTCAGACTCTTTTTTGAAGTTTGTCCTGATGATGTTGTTAACAGTGACAATGAAACCTTCACGATTAAACCATCGAGCTCAGATAACACAACACCACAGGAGTTGCACTACCTGGGAATGGGGTTCACGGTAGCCAGAGCAAGACGTGGTACTAGTCCACAAAGTCCCTAACTGTTGGTCTGAGTCAAGTGGCGAGATGCAAACTACATGACTAGGGTCCCGAGAACGATAAAAATCTTTCGTTGAGGACTTTTGGTGGTTTGAAAATCGGTTACAGTGGTGCAGATATGTTCACCCCTTGATATCTAAAGCGTGAACAGTTTCACCAACCTTTGTCTTCAGACTGTTTATCCTCATACATAACTTTGTCTACTTTGATATAACTCTTATTCTATCCACCTATTCTTTGTATACTACTGTGAAGTGTGATAACTTGAAGCGGTGCACTTGTGTGCACGGTTCTACGTTGATTTTGTCTGTCTATCTCCAGCATTGAAGACTCTAATTTTCCACTACACGCCAATACAATGGGAGTAAATCTGATGAATAACGTGTAGCTTTCTTATACCTTCCATCTTTTATTGTCATTTTCCACAAAAGTAGAGGGAAAAATGAAATGCGCTGTAGCATAGCCGTCTTTTGATTTGTAGGTAACCGATTTGGTTCGGCTAAGATTCTGGTACCAATCACCTGCTCTCTTCCCCGTCCTTAAACTATGAGTCGATGCAGATCAATCCTGCTTTGTATTTATTGGTGCCAGACACATTTTTAGAACTACCTAGGTTCTCAAAAGATGACTACGAAACTGTGAGGCATGGTATATTAGTTTAAAAGCATAACCTTTAACAAACTGTATGTGTATACTAACACTACGAGGTCGTAGTAGGTCTATAAAGGCATTTAACATTTAAGTTATGAACCATATGTAACGAAATATCAGGTAGGAACTTTTCAAGGTCAGCTACACGAAGCAATATGAAACCCTGTAGGTATTAGTATGGTAACTACTTCAGTATATAAAGGAATAAAGTCACAACTTCAACAGTTCCACTGAATACTTGCAACAGCTAATACCTCCGAGCAGGAATTATACGACTGTTTCTATATTATTGGTTTGAGCTGTGTGAGCATATTGGTTAGGGTTTGAATGACAACTGGAATCTTGCATATTAGCACTGACCGGCAGAGTGTTGCTTTGGCTTCAAGGAAACTGATTATTTTTGATCCTAAGTTACACAGCATTGCTAATACGTCAGGTTATTCGGTCATAAGACTTTATCAGCCTTCATACCACAAAAACTTGAAACAATCACTAACCATCACCAAGAAAAAAGCGCTAAAACAGAAGCTAACCTTAACATTTGGAATATCTAAACCACGAGCAGCGACTGCTGTTGCAATGAGAATTGGAGTACGACCAGATCTAAAAGACTGGAGTGCATGTTCCCGTTCAGTTTGAGGACGATCACCATGAATGGACGCAACTGGGAAATTTAACTGACATAAAAATTTAGCCAGAATATCAGCTCCACGCTTAGTTTCAACAAACACCAAAGCCAATCCATCTGGATCTAAAGTATCATCAAAGAGCACATTAGTTACCAAAGTTTAAGTGATTATCAATTTTTTACGAATCAAAAAATGTTCACTCAAAAAAAATATGAAAAGTTCAACTAGAATAACAGTATAAAACGATGTATCATAGACCATTTACAAATAATAAGAATTTTTCTACCAATGGTAACAAAAGTATGAGGGTTTGTGTTTTCCGTCATTCCAAAAGACGAGACATCCAATAAGTGGATGGGTAGATCTCAATCGACTTTAATGTCAGTGCGACTCCCATAAGAAATAATAATGACTGGGTACAGTGTTAATTTATAACTGAAGTTTCCCATGCAGCAATAGTGAAAGCACGTTAACAGTATCCATCAACAAACATACATGAATAACCTTACGCAAATATTTCAATTGACCAGGAGTTGGCAAGCTTTAACGTATTTCAACAGTGTGAAAGTTATATCAAGCAGGTCGAAATTTGTTGAATATTAAATTGGATGTAATGATCATGAGTAGTCGTAGGAACAACAAACCCTAGTTGAATATCTGAATACTCCCAAGTTCTAAGTTTTGCAAAAAGTGCGAGAATTTTTCTTTTCCTTGCTTAATTTTCGTTTCCATTTTTGGATGTTTCTTATGCGGACAAACACAGTAACTGTTGGTCTGATAATAATAATAATAATAACACTAACATCTAGCTCACAAAGATAGCAAAACACCAAAAGACAAAACAAAGCTAGTAGAAAAGCCAACAAGAAACAAGACAATATACGCTAAGCCACGTTCTGTATACAATAAACTGGAGCCATAACTCACTAGTAACCTCGCCTGCTTAACTAGTTCACTAGTTACTAGCCGGTCCTAAGCCCTCATAAAGAGGGAAGGTTGGGCATACGACTACCAACCCTACCCCCTAAAACAAATCTAACCGATAAACAAACTTCAAAGCACAAACTAAATATAAAAAATGAAAACAAACTTATTCCTCGCTGGAATCGGAGAGGCGAAATGACGCCAGTTGGTGAAAGCCTGACTTCGGGAAGCCAATTGGCCGATGTGTCTTCTCTCCCTCGATGAAAGCGAAAGTAAACGTGGGGACATGGAATGTCCACACCATGTTTGAACCCAGCTGGCAAGGCAGCCCAGATTGCAAACGAGATGAGAAGGTATCACATCGAAGTGCTTGGAATTTGCGAAAGCAGATGGAATGGGAGTGGAGTCTCCAAACTGTCAACTGGAGAATCAATAATCTACTCCGATATTGTCACCCACACGACAACCACAAGCACACTCAGGGAGTGGCTATCATGATGTCCCCAAGAGCATCGAAGGCCCTCATGCAGTGAGAACCAATCTCCTCCAGGATCATGACAGCAAGATTCAATTCAAAAGGAAGGAAGGTCACAATCATACAATGCTACGCTATGCACCTACAAATAATGCAGAGCAAGAGAAGAAAGAGGAATTCTACAGACAACTTCAATCAACACAGAACAAGACACCACTCAAGTTGGCGATATCAAAATTCTAATGGGCGACATGAATGCCAAACTGGGAGCAGACAACACAGGAAGAGAACTAACCATGGGTCGAGAGGCGCTCGGTGAGGTGATGATAGAGAATGGAGAATTGTTTGCAGAATTCTGTGCATTCAACGATTTGGTGATTGGAGGCAGTGTGTTCAGGCACAAGGATATCCACAAAGCAAAATGGATTCGAATTCACCAGATGGACACACTAAAAATCAAATCGACTTTATCTCAATCTCAAGAAAATGGAGACGCAGTCTACTTGACACAAGGTCAAGAAGAGGAGCAGATGTAGGCTCAGACCACTATCTAGTGCAAGGAACCTTCCAAATCAAGTTAAAAGCCTTCAAGGAAGCTGGTGATAGACCTCAATTCAAGTACAACACACAGAAAGGAAACTGAAGGATGAAACTACAAAGGAAATCTTCAAGGCAGCCAGCCATCAAGACAAAATGGGAGATATCGAGGAACATCCCTGAAGAAACCTGTGTAGAAGAACACTGGAAGTCTTTCAAAGAGATGTGGAAAGAAACCTGCACAACCATATTAGGAAGGAAGAAGAAAGAAGATAAGGAATGGATCTCGACGGATACATGGAAGCTGATAGAACAGGGAGAGGAGGATGGTGAAGCAGAAGATAAACCAGTGCAAGGATGCTCAACGACAAGAGGAACTGAGTTCAATGTATAAAACACTACACTGGACAAAGAAGTGAAGAAGAGTGCACGGAAAGACAAAAGATACTTCTACGACACATTGGCAAGTGAAGTAGAACAGGCTGCAGGTAAGAGAGACCTGACAACATTGTATCGAATAACCAGGTTGCTATCTGGGAAGAGATCAACACAGATGAAACCAATAAAAGATGATGACGGAAATTTAATTACGAAAGAAGAGAAACAAAGGAAAAGATGGGATAGCAGGACCAGATGGAATTCCGCCTAAAGCACCGAGAACAGACGCATAGACAACAGTGGACATGCTCACACCACTATTGCAGAAGGTTAGCAAGGAAGGAAGGAAAGGTACCTGCCCAATGATTGTTAGAAGGGCTACCTTGTCAAACTCTCGAAGAAGGTCGACCTAAGTGTTTGCAAGAACAAGAACAGGCGAGGAATCATGCTCCACTCCTGTCCACCCCAAACAAAATATTAAGCCGCATCATCCTGGAGAGATTAAAAGATGCACTGGATTTAAAACTATGACCGGAACAGGCTGGCTGGATTCTGGAAGTACAAATCATGTGCAGACCAAATTGCAACGCTACACTACGCATCATCATAGAACACAGTATAGAATGGCAATCAGCTCTCTACCTCAACTTCATCGACTTTGAGAAGGCCTTTGACAGCATCGACCGACAAGTTATTCGGAAACTGCTTCACTACTACGGAGTACCGCAAACCTTTATCCGCCTCATTCAACAACTATATCAAGACACCATATGCCAAGTAGTTCACAATGGGAAGCTCACTGATGATTTTCAAGTGAAGACAGGAGTGAAACATGATATTCCTAATTGTGGTGGACTGGATCATGCAGCAAACAGTGAGGAGCGAGAAGAGGGGGATACACTGGACTACGGAAAAGAACCTAGAAGACTTGGATTTCGCCGATGACTTGTGCCTGATGTCACACAAACTGGAAGATCTACAGGCAAAAACAAACAAGTTGATAAAAGAGGCAGCGAAGACGGGACTTCAAGTGAATATAGAGAAGACAGAGATGATGAAGATACCCAACCAACAACTCCAACAACAACAACACACTCCAGTCACCATCAATGGGAGAAACTTAAAGGAAGTAACCTCTTTCACTTATCTAGGAAGCACTGTTTCAACTACAGGCGGGACGGACGAGGACGTCAAAGTCAGAATCGGAAAAGCAAGACAGGCGTTCATTAGCCTGAAACCAGTGTGGAGATCTTCTGCACTCAGCATGCGGAACAAGATACGGATTTTCAACACCAACGTCAAGTCAGTGCTTCTGTATGACCCAGAGACTTGGCGTGTTAAGAAAGGGATTTCCAATAAACTATAGACATTCATCAACAACTGCCTACACTGGCTCGTTACTGAAGATCAGATGGCCAGAATAACAAGAATAAGCAACAAGGAACTCTGGACGGGCAACGAACCAACCAAGAACCTATCACCCGACAAATATGCACTGGAAGGAAGTGGAGATGGATTGGGCATGCACTGAGAAGGCCGACTGAGGACATCACGCGTCAGGCCAGTTGCTCGAGTGGAATCCCCATGGGAAGTGACGAGTTGGACGTCCGAGGGTGACATGGAGGAGGTCGTGCGAGGAAGAAATGAGAGCTTGTGGGCTGTCGTGGAACCAGGTTCAAAAGATCTCAGAGAACAGAATTCACTGGAGACGTGCTACTGAAGCCCTATGTTCCACTAGGAATCCAAGGGACTAATAATAATAATAATAACTCACTAGTGTAATTTACTTGGTTCTCACAAACTGGGTCACAAATTCAAACCCTGACCAACTCACTTCGCTCTAGACGACGGATAGCATAGGCCTACATAATAGATGTAGTTCATAATCCAGTGCACAAACTCTGCGTAGTCTCAAAAATGCAAGCAAGAAAAGGTGTTTTCTCGAAATAGAAATGTATTTTTATCGCCACCACCATACCATTAACTGACCTCTGAAGCTTCGACTTCAAAGTCAAAATCATGCTATAACTGAGCTAGCTTTTAGTACGCTAAGCTGCTAATCTACTGTGTGAGGGTTGATGGTACCATATCCAGCTGCCCCGACCTCTGTTAGTGTAGCAACCTTCCAACACGTAAACTGCTGGTCAAAAGCCCACTAACTGGACCAAAAAAGTCACAGCTCTACAAGTCACAAATCTACGAGGCTATGTTAACTAACAAGTCACTGTGAAAATTAAGACAAGAAGACATTTGTTAAGAAACTTCAAATAAGAGATATACACAAAAATATTTCAGATTTAACTCAAAGTGTAAGCAGCTAAATTTCTGGAAACAATAATCAATTCATATGAAGAAGCAGACAATGGTTAGGTGATGAATTAATCACGTACCTTTCCCTTGAAGTAGTCTAACCAACATATCAGGTTTATCTTTATCAGCCACATTCAAAACTTCTTGGACAATATTCTCGTTAGTACTTCCAACACGTCCAACTGCCAAAAATATGTAGGAGTGAAGGAAATCCCGTGCCAGCGTCTGTAAATTAAGTTATAGGCCTTCAATTAATTTATTCCTTTTATTCGTAAAAATCATTTGAGAAAAGCAATTTGTTCTTTACACATAATTTTTGAAAAATTATTTAGACAAGGTATGAAAAGTTTCAGTGCGTAGACATACTTGAATTTCTTTTGGAAATGTGGCAGAAAACATCAAAGTTTGTCTTTTTCCGGCAGGTGGCATACCATGTTGTTCGACAATCCGACGAATCTGCGGTTCGAAACCCATATCAAGCATTCTATCTGCCTCATCCAGAACAAAAAATCTAAATTTAGAAATTGTATGTAAAATAATACCGATAGAAATGAGACATACCTTATTTGTTCCAGACTCACTTTACCTCTGCTCACCATATCAACAAGGCGTCCAGGGGTTGCTACAAGTAAATTGCAGCCATGAGATAAATCTCGTATTTGAGTGAGGATAGAGGCCCCACCATAAACTACACAAGGCTTGATGTTGGAACGATATGAAAACTTCCGGGCTTCATCATATATCTGAGAAGATAACTCTCTCGTCGGAGCAAGGATCAAAGCCACGGGACATGCAGCACAGTTTATTGCCTATAACATAAATAAACCTGATAATTCTTGCTTACAGATCCTTCAGTAGCTGCTTCACAGTGGTTATCCTCGAAAAGCATATTGAGTATCGGGAGTAGAAAAGCTGCCGTCTTCCCAGAACCTGTTTGAGCACAGGCCATGAGATCTCGTTTCGCTGTAATTATTGGCAGTGCATACTTTTGCACTGGTGTGGGATGTATATATTGAGCTCTTGTCACATTATCTTTGATTATTTGGTGCAGTTCAATATCATTGAATGACTTTATAGGTTCCACTGGGGTCCAATTCGGTCCAGATTGTGTAACTGGTATACTATCATACAACTGGAAGTTTAAACCTCGTTTTGGTTGTTCAAATAACTCATAGTCATTTTTCTTTAGAGGCTTAGACCACATTTGCCTCTCATTATACTGCTTGTTAAATGGACGCTGCACGACACTACTAAGAAAAAGTTAACTCTCAAATGTGACATTACCCATGATTCCCTGTTCCATTGTCGAAGATAAGGGGTGGAGGCCCAAAAAGACCAATATTATCGAGTCTGTGAATAGGATTCCACTGATTGAACACAGGATAACCATTGGATTGTGGGGTGATATTGTCCGCATTTCCATAGCGTGACATCCGAGTGGTATTCCGCCTATGACTGTTAGTTGGAAGACTTCCATAAGCTTTAAAAACGTGGTCATTTGAGAAGAAGCATGATGGATCTGTAAGTGGTTGGGACGCATCTCTCAAGTTCAGATAACCAAACTACAGTGTAAAAATAATTGAAAGATACATGAATCCATATGTAACGGTTCCTTACAAGACATTCTACTTACAGTAGATGCCGTGAATCACCTAGATGCCTTTCAGAATGCTAGTCCATATGTAATCTGGGGCCCGTCAAAAAATTTATGGGTATAACAACAGAAATGAACCTATGTAAAACAACGAAATAACTATATAAGCACGGATTAGGTAAGCTATGTGCGTAATTCTTGGCCTGAGGTAACGTAACTAATCGAAAACCAACTGTGAAATTTCACGGCTGTTTCATTTATGAACCAGAATGTTATGACAACAATGTAGTCTGTTTGGCAAGACTAGCATCAAGATTACAAGTAAAGATGGGTGATACACTGCTGAATAATATGTATCTGCAAACCATCGACATCAGCCAGTGATGCTGGCAAGCTAAGCGCAGTGCATCCTCAAGCGTAATACTAGTCGGAGAAAGAGAGAAACTGCTTAAAAATCGGTGTCTTAGGGTTAGTGTGAGTTCAAAATGCTATGCTCAACTAAGAACTTCAAGCAAATAAGTAGTCAATTGCGTTTCTATAACAACACAAGAATATGATATAGGGTAGGATACGAGTAGAGAGACATATAAACGTTAAGAAACAAATAAAATAAGCTTAACATCGACGTACTTGGTAAAGCATGCCTTCATACTCACAAGTAAGGTAAGCCCTTTTGTTTTGCACTAGGTTTTTCGCCTACATTATCTAGTCTGATTACTTCGCCTACCTAGAGTTACAAAACAACTACGACGGTAAAAACGATATAATTTCAATGACACTTTTAGTCAACCAACCAAACCAAGGTTCAGAACAGAAACTGATGGCAAGTTTGTAGCTTTATTATGTCCCATATACAAATCACAAACAATGATTAAAAGATGTATCCTAGTGACTGACTACTTGTGAGCATTACCAACATATAACTTCCACCAATAGCTTCTTATACCGTCTCAATTTGCGTCTTCTGTAAGACAAACAAAATCAGCATAGAACATCACACGAAAATGCACTGGTACAAATTGTCACGCTTCACAGTAGCATGCAAAGAACAAGTGGGTAGAAAAAGACTGATGTCTAAATAAACAAAGGTGTATAGGAGGAACAATTCGAAAATAATAAATAAGGCAAGTACTGCAGCTTTAGATGTTAAAGCGATGTTAAAGAGCCATTGTGACCAATCTTCAGCCATATCACCAAGCCTGAGATTTTTGACTCCCATCGTCCAGAGGATCCCAGGCACGTAGCCGACACCTCTCCACATGCCCCACGCCAACAGTCAGAGAATTCATGCATTGATGCTACTTCTTGGTTTGGCCACTTTGAGGCTTTACCCAACCTAATCCAACTTCACCCAACATTGCATTTCGAGGTAGTTCGAAAAGTACAAGCAGGCCTTCTGTATACGAACTGAGATCTCGCCAGCAACCAGCCTGTTCGGGTTGACGCAACTCTCAGAGTAAATGGAGCGGTCACCGCATTCCACCAACTTACTGCCTATCACTAAACTGGTGATGTATCTAGATCAGTCCTGAAGCAGTTTCTAACATTTGACAGATGTGAAACACATGCCAAACATACTCAGATTTAAGTTCTAAGACTTCACAAAAACTACATTTAGTCAAAGCATTCACCCAATAGAAAAATATCGTCTGCACATTCCAAGTATAAAAGATGACCTCTGGCGAGTAAACTAATCACTGTGAAGTTAGTCGTACCTCAAATTGCGTCCTCTAGTACACCCATAACAAATTTAAACATGAACAGTGACACTGGGCATCCCTGACGGACACCACTACTTGTCTTCAACTCACGTGACAACTCTCTCCAAGTCCTTTCACTATTGCGTGGGTTCGAGTAAACAGCTTTCATTAGCATCATATACTTGCTAGACACTCCATTCACAGTCAGACACCACCACTACACCTCAAAGTCGACAGAATCGAATGCCACCTTCAGATCTAGAAATATGGCAACAGTCGGTCACCGGTAAATACGTCTGTGTTGCATGCCCTGTCGAAAGGTGAAAATCGCATTGATGCATCTTCGTTCAGGTCTGAAAACTGCCTGGTTCTCTCGCGTTTGTTGTTCTCGAGAGATGCTTAGGTGTATGATAACTATGGATCCAGGGATTTCGTATACGATGTTAGTCAAACTTTCATATGGTGGTCACGAATGTTCTCTCCCTTCTTAAGGACTGGAATAAATGGTGAAGTAGATCAGTGTGACAGCAGTACCTCTGATTCACATACACTGACTAGTATTCCATAATTGTACAGCATTTTTTACCTTCATGCTTAAAAAATTCGGACGGCAAACCATCAGGTCCGGTTGTTTTAAATAGATAAACAACGAATAAATATTTTATTTCGAGATTATGAAGTTAACATTGTGAATTTTGTATTGTTTCAGGGTCGAAATAGCCTTTTCAACTAACAGGACAGTTTAAGGACCGACATCTAGGTCCTATTCAGGTGTTGGTTGGATGTTTGGAAACTGAGGCGTCGCCACAGGCCAACTAAACTGTGCTCCAGTGTTTTGCTGTCTGTTGTGAGAGGTCATCAAGGTATCATCCTTGTTGGTGACGGTCTCACCATCGTATTTTTCCTGACACTGTCCTTAATACGCTTAAAGAATTGCCGGGTATTGACTTATGCTTTCTTTTACTGTACTATCTTCGTCTACTACACGACCGATTCAGACATATTGGCCCTGTCATACACTCTGTTAAGATATGAAATGGGAAAACTAAGAATATTTCAGGAGGTATTACCCGGTGAAAAATCTTTGCGGGGTGCTAATTAACAGATACAACCACATAACTATATAGACTAGCCAAAGGAACCACTTATGAATTGCCGTGGTAAACCTAAGATCTAGAACTTATTGATGGTCGGGTTGTGAATAATAATGCTAAACACAGCACTGACTACAATTAGTTAAGGATGTTCAGTCTATTAAGTAGGGCTCTGAATTGTATAGATGCAAATGTCTATGGTGTAAAAGGCACTCATTTATCTACGGTGCTTGAGAATTCCCATCAAAATTTTAGGTAGTTACATAAATGAAGAACGTTCTGAAACTCTATACCCACACTAATTAGACATTAAAAAATTTAGGTCAACCAGAAATTTCAAGGGTTGTTTTACACAAACCTTTTGTTGTTGAAATACACGTACTTATACCTATCTGGCATATTTATATGACTGTAGGGTTTGATTAAGTCATAAAAAAGTTATTTGACTGGCTATCTGAGGTTAGAGTACTACATATGCATGTAATACTTGTTTGAAGTCAATTTTAGGGAATATTAAGTTGACTACAAAACACGCAGTTTTAGGGGCTCCTAACCTTCTAAATGAGATGTACTTGCTTATGCATTAGGAATTTTAACCATTGATACACAGCTTACATCTGATTCCAACTACTTCGATATGGGCAACAGGTTAGTACCATGAACACGTAGCATAGTCCAAAGTCCAAAAAAAGAACCTGCGTTAAGGTCGAACTACATTATCTCCAATGCTATTCTCGCCCGATTATAAGAGGAAAGATTGGTTGGAACAGATACGAATATCCCCTGATAAGAATGAAAATCGGCGTACATTGATCAATACAGTTCCAACCCTTTATCGTCTTCAACGATGGAACATTCAAGACAAGGGATGAAATTCAACTATTTTAGAACTGACCACCTGATAATTGACAACTAACTCTGACATTTTTCAGTAATGAAAGTTTCCAATTCCAAAGTGAGGTCCGACCAGGCAAGTAATTCCCAACTTATGGGTCATATATTAACGGAACTGTGTATGCATTAAAGCGGTATTCGTTATACAAACAAGTTTCAGAGCAAAACATTTAACGAGGCCAGGATAATGATTTCATTTGTCGCTTGCTCATGAGGCAATCATTCCATAACCAGGGGCTGCAAATAACTTCCTAGTGAAATTAGATCCAAAGTCTGCCATATACTTAATCGCCTAAATAGCTTTCCCAGAAAATACATGATTCTTAGTGCAGCGCACTTGAATTATCCTCCAAACACAATTATTATGCGAAAACACACCAAGCAACCTATTAACAATGTACTTTGAAGAAACTTGTAGTATTTAATCATCCGTCAAAACATCTTACGCTGTTTTCCAGGCTTTCCATAGTATAATCAAACCCATATAGGGTTACAGAACAGGGTTTGACACCATTTCGGATATCCCACCACTTCAATGTCCCAATGTAGACTAGTCTTCATTGTTAAGGATAGTAAACCAGGAAGCTAGTATTATTCTTTCTGGTGTATTTCTCTTCTGATTTTGAATTCCTTTTTGAATGAAGCCATGCGGGAAGCTTCTGCCACGAGCTACCTCTGGACTTTCAGGTTTCCTTGGACCAAGAAAACGACTGACAATTTCGAACACAAAACTTATTCTCCTAAGCCAGATGTAATGCCCAGTGGGCCGCTGTTCTCCATCTCTGCAACACAAAGTTCGAAAGTCAAAGTTCTAGTCTTAAACCATCTTCTGAGAGAGAGTGAATTCCAAATAATTTCAAATTGTTGTCGACAGAATAGAGGAAGCTTTTGCCTAAGCGGCTTACGTATTTAGAGTCACAGGACCGCCGTTTGCCGCATTTGAATGCCTAGGTACAGGAGCCAACAATCGGAAATGAGTTCGGGTAGTGAGTAGTTTAGTCTGTAAACCCACTCTGTAACCTTAAGTGGATACTGACTGCATGTGTGCTGGACCCAAACGGTGCTACCTGAAAAACCTATGCGGGAAGCGGGTTCTAAACTTTGAGAGCTGTTAGGGTTTGAAAGTTGCACCCGGCGTCCACCATACTGTGTTCCAGCTCTAACATCACGGTATTATCCTAAGGTTTTAATAAGAGCTCAGCTAAATGGAATGGTGAAGCAGATGACCTGAAGTATCCGAAGTGTTACATGTCATTGTTACGTCACCTTTCATTTTTGTATATTCTAATAAGTGCAGATCCGGTGCTGCTGCACAGTTCTCATTCGGCTTGTGCCTTAGTCCACGAATGGACCTAATGCAATGGCTCTGGATGAGTTCTAATAAGTTCTTGTCTTTTCAAATGAGGAGAGAAAGACGATGTCCCCGAATCCTAGTTTATGTCCTACGGAGATGTAAACGACCTGGCGTAAATACTTAGGATCAAACCATTGACAGATTCGTATCAAGGTTGCAACTGTCAGACTTAAGCAAAATCCATTCATCCACAGCCAGTCAAGAATTTTTACATCGTGACTGAGTTAGACTCCAAGGTCATTTTCTGTCAAGGATACCTTAGCTCCCTGCTTGAATCTCTGACACGCATCATGTCTTAACTGTTTCACGTTGTATTTGTTTACAATTGAAGATTGGTCGACTGTAGCTTACCCAGTGATGAAGTAGGGTTAAATCATCCTAAAAAGTGGGCTTATCGCCGCCGTTCCCGATTTCTCGTCATGATCTTCACACCATGGTTGTGGTTGACGAAATATAACGTCCGTTTCACCCCAACAATCAGTTATGCTAGTCCAACTACCTACTGAGATTAATAGATCACTGACACATTAAATCAATCAGGTGGTGTGTAACGAGGCTGGTGGACACCTAGTAGTTGAGTAAATCATCACAAATCAGTAACTCCATGAGTTTTAACTCGTAGTTTATTCGGTGACGCTTTTGAATCACTTATTGATGATCTCCTGGATAATCAGCCCTGGACGGAGTAAAGCGATCTCCAAGATTGACATTCATATGTGAGATATGGTTTGCTAGTATGAAGTGATACCCTTACCTACGGTCATATATCTGAACAAAGCCAATTCGATTTAAAGGCTGCATGTAGAGGTAGCCGTTAAACATCTAAGTTCATGATCTTTGTTTGGGGAGGTAAGGTTTGGTGATTAAATCATATATTTTATGACGGGACAACAAGGCTCTAAGATGTTAGTGACTGATGCCTTCTGTTTACTCCATCCTAAGACTCACCGCTTAAAATAACTCATCAGTCCCCATACTCATTAAACCTGGGTGGTACTGCATCGTCAGTCATGAAATCTTATGTATCGCAATAACCATCTACCATGGCTCCTCTCCCACCAATTTCGATCTGCAGTGGCCATCTTCTAAACCATTCCATTCATATGTCCCAGTTTTCCTGTGAGAACAGTCTGTCGTCGTCCCTGTACTTACCTTCGTAAAGCTCAGCGTAATATGAAACATGTGATTACGCGAAAACTTTGGGGTGGCCGAATGTAGTAAATTAGGAAAGAAAAACAGATGCCAAAAGCATACCTCAAGGGCACCACCGTTCACTAGTTTTCGTGGGTAAGCACACCGCTAACCCTAGTTACCTGCCTCCTGTAGCTAGGAAATCCTCAATATGTCGTTTTACATTCTCACCGATTCCATTACCCCCCGGTTTCATTGGAAGCATTGAGTGGAAAACCCTACGAAAACCTATCGGCGTTGAATCTCCGTAGATATTCACATCGGTCGATGCAGCTCAGCCTTATCCTGTCACGGAAAAGTTAGCAAAGCAGGAGTAACTAACCCCAAAGCAGTAGTGTTCCTTAGTAAGAACTAAATTCCTTTCAACATAGGCCAGTAGTATGTGGTATATGATCCCTCCTAACAACTTCATAAGTTTGCAGAAAGGGTTAGCCAAATGGCAGTTCTCCAGTAGGTGCTAAATCTAGTTCCGTAGACTGGATCGATAGTGGCAGTTTTCCTGTCCACGTGTTATTTTGTCTGTCTCGGTGGCATATTAAGCGACAACTACGACGATTCAGAGGTAACGCTCCCAAGAACTGATAATATATGAACGCGTGGCCCAGAAGAACCACTTAATTATCCCTAGCTGGAGCAATAAACTGACCGCAATACAGTCCCTCATTATGAAGGGTATATCTTCAAAGTAGCACTCAGAGCAAGTGACCAGTAGCAAGCCTCACACAATAGCCTTCTGAGAATCCTTGGCGACGTAATGTGACAGCGTTTCAATACGGAAGTCATATTCTGCCGCCTTTGTTAGACCGCTCTCAAGAGAAGAACTAGGATAGACTCGATTCCTCAGGCTCTAGCCCTAACTACAGTGATAATTAGTTCTTTGAAATGCAAGCACTGATGGCAGAGGAAAATTTATCACAAAAAGTACTCCTCTGTGCGCAACCCTTCACAGACTTTCCAGAGTTTAACGACAAACTATTTTTAAAGAACTCCTGTGGACGGAGTGCTTAATTCCATCTTTCTCAGGATAGGTACATGAGAAGAGACTTTATGGCTTCTTTGTCATACCTAAAGGGTTATTTGGAGTGGTTGATAATTTATGACAATTTGGTGAATCATGAGGAATAAAACACTGTACGGAGTCAGTCACGTAAATGACAAGCACTGCTCTAAACTCACTTTGCATTCACGAAAAACGCTATGGATCGGTCACTTTAAGCTTTGTCATGTGTTTAAAGTGTTCGCTCGTGAACAAGTGTTCTTATGAACTACATCATAAACTAAAAATATGAAAGATGGTACGAAACGGTAAACGTTAAGTAGGAAAACAAAGGACGGTGAATAGGCGGACTTACGAGCGAATACAGCATCTCCAAATACGAAGCTGGATAGCAGCTAGAATTCAGGGCCTCAAAATCTGCCATATCAAGGTATCCTGTGCAGCAGAAAAAGTGGCATATTGGGATCTTGGGGGAGATGTTGTCCGGACCGATTACCAAACGGTCACCACAAGAGGACGCTTCAGCTTTCTGGTCCGTGAAAAAGATAAGTCTGGCCTGACGATGCCCATCTCCCATATACCAACCTGGACCTGTTACGAAACTCACTGGCTTCCCACATATTCATTTGAGAACTCCCGGCGGCAAGTCATCAGCACCAGCCGCTGCGTATAGTTAAATGTTCGAAATCTGAATCTCATCAGAGGTGGGAGTAGCGCAAGAGACATATTAGGCACATCAACGTCCTAGCCGCAGCCTGAACAAGTGAATCTTGTATATGCCAGTCAAAAAGTGTGGCCAGGTCGACGATAATACACGTGAAGTAGAGGGCTACAACATACAGTCTAGACGCCAGACGGGAGAGATGAGTTTCTCCGCGTTCAATAAATATCGTTTCAAAGGAAGCCAATCACAATAGAAACCAGGTAAACTAAATCCGAATATTAGCCACCCATTCCGAAATCTGAGGAATTTCACATACGATTCCAATCACCCCAACAAAAATCCGTCACGATAATTGTGAAAAATTATGGTCAGTCTACGCTTAAGTTGCCTCCGCTCCTCACTGGAGTCACAACCAGCAGGAATGAGTCCTCTCGCATCAATCGGTTCGGATGAGGTTGCGGAAATCCACTGACTTTCGCCAACCTTCAGATATAGGTTACGAATTGTCTCAACCTCTGTTTCCTTCTACAGCAGACTGAATATTATGCCAAGTTTCCTCTGGATGACCATTGCTGTCACGCTCAGATAGGTGCTCGATAATCTTCAGCCTACACTCACACTTGACATACTCTTCATTCAATGCAGATAAAACAGGCTTCACTGCCGCCTGCTTCACCGCCATCAATAAGGCACAGACATACACGACACCATACCAACATGTGACCAGGGTTCAAACAAGTACTCCAGAAAGAACGAAAATCCTCCACCGATCCTCTCCAATGGTGACTTATGACAGTTTGATCTGTCTTTGTCTGTCGTTAATTTGATATCGACGGACACCAAGTGAGACAATGTCGCTCCCTGTGCTCGAAGTTGATGCTGGCGAGAAACAAGTGATTGTCGGAACAGAATTGTAGGGGACAGTCACCATTGTCGGTTCACTGATGTGAGACACCGTAGATACTTCTGAGATATCTTTCCCATTGGTTCAGCTTCCCTATTTGAACGCTGAAGTCACCTGCAACTAAAACTATGCGTGAATGTTTTGCTTGATGTAGCGAAATTGGCAGCTTTCAATAGGGTTCATCCTGCATGTCATCTGAACTGCAGTCGGCAAGTGCGAAGGCAGAGATTTCGAATAGACACCGTCTAGTCTCACGATGCTTTCTAGGTTTTACAGGTTTGTTCAGTCGGACAGCATACAGATGGCTATTGAGTGATATCCAGTTCAGAAGCGTGTTTTCTTCTCGAGAACTTAATT